TCGTGGTGGGGACGGCCGCATTTGGAGACATATGTCGCAGGAACCTATCATTTCCTCGAGGGTCTTATCAATGCCCGGAAACCACAGACGAGCACGGGTTTCTGCTTTCGTTTTCACGATACCCATATGTGAACTGTGTAGTTCTGTAAGAACACGTTGACGTAAGGATTCGGGTATCACCGCTTTGTGCCCTCTCATTAAACAACCATTCTCGTAAGCCAATTGTTCTTTACACAAATAGAATGGTTTAAACCTTTTATCTATCATTTTCTTAGGCCATCCATTTAATACGTAATTAACAACCCGTAGTAATACCGGGTCGCTCTCAGTTGCACCGCGCAACTCCCGCACCGACACCGGCAGCGCGCCGTCTGTCACGAAGTGAATGTATGAGGCGCGATCGCCGACCTCCAACGCGGCCGCTTCTCGCCCCGCCGCCGGCGGCGGTGGCGGCGGTGGCGGCGGTAGGCTAGCCCGCGACAAGTAATCGGCGCTGTTATCTTTGCTCTTTACGTATTCTATTTCGTAATTATAACCGCTTAAAAATAATGCGTACCTTTGTAATCTATTCGCTGATACTTCTGGAATGCCTTTATTTTGACCAAAAATAGATAACAAAGGCTTGTGATCCGTACGAAGAATGAAGGGTACTGACCTACCATACAAATACTGATGAAAACGCCGCACGCCAAATATTATTGCTGTCGCCTCTTTGTGAATTTGCGAATATCGTTTCTCAGCATTATTCAACGTACGCGATGCGTAGGCGACCGGTTTTTCGTTCTGTTCGCTACCTACTTGAGATAATATCGCTCCCAACCCGCTAGGGGATGCGTCAACTGTCAATATTATTTTTGCGATTGGATTATAGTGGGCGAGAACTTCATCTGACGTTAATATTTTTTTTATTTTATTAAACGCCTCATTCTCTAATTTTGACCATCTCCATTTAGTAGTCTTTTTTAACAACTCATATAATGGACTAAGAATTGTTGATGCATTTGGCACAAAACATCTATAATAATTTACTAATCCCAGAAAGGACTGCAGTTGACTTACGTTCGTGGGTACTGGGGATCGTATAATAGCCTCGACTTTATCCGTAGATTTTTTTAATCCATTTTTATTTATTACATACCCTAGATAACTAATCTCATCTTTAAAATATTCACATTTCTCTTTTTGTAACACTAACCGCCTGCGTCTTGCAGTCGGCGTAAAACTTGATGCAGCCGTTGCAGGTGTTCAGTACGGTCCTGGCCCGTTACCAGGACATCGTCGAGTAGACAAAGGACTCCATTCAATCCTGATAACAAATTTTCCATAGCTCGCTGGAATATGGCGGGTGCGCACGATAATCCAAAGACTAATCTAGTATAGGCAAATATACCGCGGTGTGTATTTATGCAAGTATACTTTTGTGAGTCCTCATTTAACATAATTTGGTTGTACGCCATTGAAAGGTCCAATTTTGTGAACTGTTCACCACCATGAAGTTTCGAAAATAGCTCGTTAATAGTTGGTAAAGGGTACTGTTCAATAACTAATTGTTTATTTATACTAACGGAATAGTCGACGCACAGACGGACTGACCCGTCTCGTTTTAATACGGGTACGATTAGGGACGCATACTCCGCATGTTCTACCGGCCGTAATACTCCTAATCCTACCAGACGATCTATCTCCTTATCTACTTTATCCTTAAGCGCGAACGGCATAGGACGCGGCTTGAAAAATACCGGTTTTGCGTCTTCTTTTAACGTTAATTTTACCGTATATTTATTGAACCGTCCTAATTTATCAGAAAATGTATCCGGGTAAAGTGTATGTAAAGACTCGATTTCATTGTTTGCAGTCTTACACGTGTACACTGGCGCTAACTATAATTGAAATTTAGCTATAAAATCACGCCCGAGTAAAGACGGGCCGCCATTGCAGACTACATACAGCTGCAGATCGATTGAGCGTCCCCTCCACTCAAGAGTGATATTCACTAGTCCTACGCACCTAAGTATCTCACCCGAATAGCCTATTAATTTTTTATTACTACTAGATAATGGCACATTAGAGAAATACCGATAGTAAGTTTTATCTGAAATAACAGACACCGCCGACCCACTATCTATTTCAAATGGCAATTTTGTTCCATTGACACACACCGACTCAACCAATGGCTCACCTTTCACGGATCTTATATTATGAATCGAATTTATGTGCAACTCACCATCATCGCCCTCGTTTACCTCGTCCATTGCCAGGTGTTTCACCGATTTACACATCCTACGTAAATGACCTTTTACGTTACACTTTTTACAGGCGGAGTGGCGTTTTGCTAAAACGACACTCCGCGGTTTTATGACTCGTATAGCCACAAACACTGCACTTATCTCCACTTTTCTTGAAGTTTCGTGACCTTCCTTTGTCGATTTTGTACAATTCCTGTTCCGTCGTAACCGTAACGGCTGAGCTGGCAGCAGCGGCGGTACGAGCACACCGTAGGTTTTCCACTAGCTCCACCGCCTTTACTAGCGTTAGTCCAGCTAAGTCTTGCACGTAAAGTTTTTCTTTTTCCGCACCCGGCAGCATTCCCATTATAAATCGGTCCCGTAACGCTTCTTCTATGTTGCTAAAACTACAATGAGCCGTGAGACCGCGTAGTCGCGCAGCCCACTGCGACGCAGATTCGCTTGGTAACTGCGTAGATGCATAAAACTTATGCCGCTCTCCAAACCCAACTTGTTTCGGTATGAAATGCGTATCCAATAGGGCTACGATATCTTCATATGGCACCTCCTCTAGTGCTTTTGGTAACGCGAGGTCGGCAGCAAGCTTGTAAGTCCCGTCTGCGAGTGCGCTAAGTAATATAGCACGCCGTTTCACTCCTGTTGGATCTCTCACCGCGTCGATCTCATTTGCGATGAACCACTGTGTAATCCTTCCTTTAAAGGTCTTCCAAGTGTGCTCCTTGTGATCGAAATTAGAAAGCAGACCGAAATTTAACGCCATTTTGTTTTTTTTTCTATTGTAAATGAGTAAGCCTCGTCGCCATTAATATATATGCGGACAGGGACAAGTGAAACGCAAGGCTGCTGTTAACGCACTGACTTATATTGTCCTTGAAACAGTATTATAAGTGCGTGGCGCAGCACGCACACATATACATACATAACAGCCACCAATTAACGTTGATCCCTGGCTACCAAGTAGCTCATCTTGTACTGGACGGTAAGTAATATTGTATAAAAACGTCGATAGCCACCAATTAACTTTGATCCAACCCTGGCTACCAGGTAGATCATCTTATACTGGACCTATAGTAATATTGTATGAAAACGTCGTTATTACCAATTAAGGTTGATCCCTGGCTACCAAATAGGTCATTTTGTACTGGACGTTAAGTAATATTGTATGAAAACGTCGATAGTTACCAATTAACGTTGATCCCTTGCTACCAAATAGGTCATCTTGTACTGGACGCAAGTAATATTGTATGAAAACGGTGATCTCGACCAATTTACGTTAACCCCCATCAATGTCGGTAACTAGCAAATTTCAAATATTGCATTGAGCGGTAAACACTAGTTGCTATAATTTAGATTCTGTCTAAAATATACTCGTACTTATAACTAGGAGTATAGTCGAATTTCGTATTTATTACGTTATTAACTGAGATTTGGTATTAATTATTGTTTCAATATTTAGCGCACATCGATAGTGTAAAATCATTATTTTTATAAATAATTATTAATTAATAGGCATTTCGATATAGGGCGCGCGGCCGTGTGGGAGCGGTGCGATAAAACGTTGACGTTAACCTTTCCGAGCGATCCGATCCTCATAAGCGCGAGCGCCGTCTCAATGTTCTGTTGTCTCTCGATATCTAACCTATAAGGTTGCGATTTATGCTACGAAATTCATAGTTTTCTTAAATTGTACTTACATATTTATGGTTATATTATTATTACATTCTTTTAGTAATATATACGTATGGTATAGACAATAGTTTAAATAAAAAATTAGTAACAATTTTAGTATAGTTATAAGTAGGTATGTATAGTTAACTCGAGAATGAGAACTCATTGGTAACAAATTGTTTTTCATGAGAATTCAATAGATAACAGTCAATTTGTTACATAATCGACTTTACGAACTAGAACGAGTCAATACCAAGTTTCAGATATTAAATAATGTATATGTTGAAAGAGAACAATTCCGTATTTGGTTAACATATGCTATTACTAACCACAAATTCCAAGGCCTTAGTCTTGACAGTCCTCTTCTCAACATAGGCTCCTATATATTTAATAAAGAGCAGGCTTACGTTGGACTCTCCAGTGTTAAAACATTAGATGGAGTAAGTACATCTTAACAATTTAGATCCAAGTCACAAGAGCTCTATTGTAGAGTACAACCATCTACGCACTTTGTACCGCCCCTATTTGGCCAAAAATTGCTGATACTGAATGGGCTCGAACATTTCAAAGGTACAAGAAAATATAGAAAATAAAAAAAAGACAATTATACCCCATAAACGTATGAAAATGCTAGTTTATCAAAAATAATTTGGTATTAATTTAGTTATAAATAAGTACCTATTAATAATTTATCTACAAAAAGTAATGATATCCCGTCAAAAACATAAATGTGAAATGATAGCCGAGTTCAATGGTCTGTCCTAAAATGTTTTTATAACAACATAAAATATCATTTCTTCTTATAACTTAGGATAATATATTGTAGCCTAAGGTCTGACTTGGCTAGTTCTCATATCCTTTTTTCCTCTTTTTTTTACAAGGAGAAATCCATCAAGGAGATCCGCCCTGGGGAATACTGCCGGACTCCTACCAGCTAAAACCCCTTGGTGTCCTCCGAGCGCTTTGTTGCCAGGGTTACGGGATCGAGACATTCAACCGTAAACCCCGGCAGCGCGGGCTCTTCAGCCCAACTCCTGAGTGGCGCGCGCGGACACCACGCGCGCCTACTCCTGGCCTCATCCCGCCTTAGGTGACAGCTGACGCCCCCGCATCAGCTGCCGCGAGGCCCGTGGTGGGAGGTGACGGACGCTGCTCCTCAGCATCCATCTCCTCCACTCTCACCGCCTGTTTGGGCGGACGGCACCCTTTGGTGCTCCCAATCTTGTGGTCCGCCTTCCTCTTCGCCGCCGCACAATACGGGCAATGCGGCGAAGGGGCGGTGCACGATGCGGCCTTGTGGCCGTCTTGTCCGCAGCGGAAGCAGGCTCCGCCGCGGTTCTCCTTGGCGGTGCACCGCTGGCCCACGTGACCCGTGAGCAAACAGCGGTAACACCGCATCGGCCGGGGATCCAAAGACCGCACCCGTGCCATAGTCCACCCTACTCGAAGTTTGCCGGCGTCCACCAGCTTCTTCACTGCCCCTATTGGGCCTCGGACCCAGACGGAGCCACTCCCGGAGGGAGAGCGCCGGATTTCCCCCGTTTTTACGGAGGCCTCGGCGCAGTCTCCCTCACGCGCTACGGCTGCCACCACGTCTGCTACTGTTGTGGCGTCGTCCAGGTCCAAGACGCGGAACTCCGCGGACTTGACCGGCCTGGTGACGGCAACTACATCTGCCGGGAGCACCTCCGACAGTTTAGCGGCGAGGGCGTCTGCCTTCCCGCCGCTTTCCTCTACTGGTCCCGGTACTTCTAGTATACGGGACCCTGTTATAGCCAGCCTGAAGCCCAGCTCGGTGATTCCGAGGGCGTCCAACTGGATCTTCTGTTGGGCCTCTCGGAGCACCGAGGTGTAGCTTGATCCCGCCTCCGCGGCTCCTGGCTGCAGCGTCAGCACTATCGCCGAGGATCGCGGAGGACGGAATTGTCTCTTCCGTGCCTTAACCCTTTTGGTGGCCTCATTCTGGGCCTCTGTTGTAGCCTGCTTTTGGGTTGGTTTACCCCCACCAGTAGGCGCCTGTATAGCTGGAGCCGACTCCTGGCTCCTCGCCGTTTTGGCGCTCTTTCCACGGCGGACGACCGTCGTCCACTTTTCCTTGGTCGCAGGCGGCGGCTGAGAAGCGCTCACTACTGCCCCACTTGTGCTGGCTATTGGAGCCGCTGTCCCTCCCTTTTTGACCGCCCCAGGTGTTCGGGGTGCAGCCGTGGCCCGTTTGGGCGGCGAGGTGTTCTGCCTGCCCACGAGTTCCTCAATTTTCTCAAATCGGGCATTAAAGATATCCCCGATTTGACGGACAATCCTAGCTTCGACAGTCTCGGTGATCACCGGTGGTACACACGGTTCAGCACCTTGACTGTCGGAGGCCACATCCATTGCCGCACTGTCCGGCGGTTTCGCCAGTGCAGCTTTGGCTGTAGCCAGTTCCGTCTGCAGCGTAGTGAGCGCCATACGGTCCTCCGTACTCCTTTGCAGTAATTCCTGATAGGAATTCCGGGTCGCAACAATCTCCCGCTGCCACTCCTCCCTCTCGGCCTTAAGTATCGCCAGCTCGCTCGCGTCCTGGCCGGTGGACCCCATGGTTTTCTTTTTGAGGTCCCTTAATTCTATGTAATATTTCGCGGATTCCTCCCTGATGCCCGTCATTAGTTCGCGCATGTCTGCCATGTCGCGTGCCAACCGAGAGTTCTCACGACGCAATGCTGCGCACTCCGTTGACGAGGTCCTCCCTTCCAGCGATTCAGACGCCGCGCGGATGGAAGCGACGGCGTCCTTAATTTCTTTCACCACTGTGCCCTTCAAGTGGCCGGATTTCCTCACGGCATCTAATACCTTGAGGGCACTCTCCTGTATATCCGATACCAACACGTCGGCGCGCTGCGCATCCTCAGCTGAGGGTCTGCGGGTGGTAGGGCGCGCCGGCGGTTTCGGAGCACTCGCCTTCTTCACTACGGTTGCTGCCTCCGTTTCCAATTCCCTTCGAGTGGCGGCGGCCAATTCGGCCTTCGCCTGTTCCAAATCCAGGTCTTTCGGTGGTGGCCTTTGTTTAGGCCTTGGCTTTGGGGTCGCGACCACTTCCACGACCTCCACCTCCTCATCGAATGTCATATCCGGGTAAACTTCCACCTCAATCATTCTCCGTTTGCGCAGCGAAGCCCGAGATGTGCTGGGCTCGCTTCCTACCGCAGCGCCGTCCTCTGAGTATAGTGAGAGTGACGAGTCAGAGCGCTCCATGTAGTACTCCGCCTCGTCACACTCACTTCGACTCCTCCGATCTAACTCCACGTCCCTCATCATCACCACTTTCATCTCTCCTCTTCCCTTCACTCCCACTCCTCTGGCCTCAGTTGCCCCCTCCAGATACACGGGGCTGACCGCCCCCGGCTTACCCGGTGCGACGGTGGAGGATTCTCCACCCGATTTACGGGTGGTACCTCCCTGGAGTATTTTGTTGTTCCTGTCGGCCATTTCATCTGTTTCCTTTTTTACCCGGGTCAGGTCCCGCATACAAAATAGAAAAGGAAAACGAAGAACAAAATAAAACTATAGAAAAGAAGAAAGGACAGAAAAGAACAGACAAAACAAAACAACAAAAAGAACAAAATATAAAACGAAGAGAAAATAAAAGAAGACTCGGCTAGTTCTCATATCCTAACCTAATCTCGCCCGGACGACGTCCTCCTCGTCGACAGCCGCGCCGACCGCCAGAGGTTTTTTATAGAGGTTGTCTCCTCGCAGCCCCGGGCGAACCCAGGGCCCCCGCTCTCACACTGGGCGGACGACCTCCTGTCATCACACCCAGTGCAAGTTTACGAATGCTTCGCTCACGGCCTGGACGGGTCCCGGTTGGGGTCAGGACTTGTCCTAGCCGCTCGCATCGCCCTCTCGCCGAAATCGGCCTAGGTGGCACGCCACCATAATTGGACGGGCGCCGTTAAACAGCGCCCACCCCCTACTCGCCGGGCTACTGGCCGACATAGTAGCAGTATCCCGAAGGAACGTCTACTATCCCGCCCGGGGCGTACCAGAACCAAACCATTGCTCGGCCACCGTTCCCCGCGGACGTATCCACGAGGATGGGGAAGTCTCCCAATGGCAGGCCCATACTAGGAGGTTGCCCGACCACACGCCCCATTAAACTCTTTTTTCTTTTAACGTGTGGAAAATCTTTAAAAGACCGTCACCCCGCCGGAGGGAGGGCGGGGCGGTGTGTGAGATTTGTACTCACCAAAAACCACACGGTGTACCTACAAGCGCCTATGCCGGAGCCAGGGGATTCGCATGTGCATTTCCACCCCAGCTCCGACGGCGACGGCCCGCCCTGTAGATGTTGTAGGGCAGGCCCCATCTCGTTACGGTTAGGGCGACCTATTTCGCCCTACTCCATTGTGGAGGCGTGTGGGTACACGCGCACACCTCCGGGGCCTTTGGATTGGGGGACTGCCTCCCTCAAGGCAGTCACCCCGGCCCCAGTGGGGGATAGAGGGGGGCGGAGTTGGATACGTCCCCACCTCTAGGCCTGGCTCTTCTGCGGCGGAGGGAAGCGGGACGAGCTGACTCCCGCTCCCTTTCCGCCGCCTCCTTCCGCGAGATAACTTCCTCGCAGAAGGAGCTCACCGCCAGCCACGATCTCTCGCTACTGATCATCCTCCGAACTAAATTCGGCAGCGAGAGATCGTCCCCCACTATTCGTGTGAGGACACGGCGCTCACTCTCGAACGCTGGACATATTTCCAGCGTGTGTTGCGCCGTGTCCTCCACACCTCCGCACTCGTGGCAGCCGGTCGTCGGCTCCTTCCTCGCCACATGACACAGATAGCGCCCGAAGCAACCGTGTTCGGACAATATCTGTGTCATGCGGTACGTCAGTGGCCATCACCTATCCATCCATCATTTGAGGATGGGACGGACAGCCTCGACGGTCCTCAGGCCGGCTGACGGGCTCATTAGCCTTGCCCGCCATTCGATCCTGAGGATCCGTCGTAGTAGAAATAGAAAATCATTTATTAAAAAAAACTTAATTTAAGCACTTTTGAATAGTCATAACAATTTGTTTTTTATCTACCACTCGTTCGGAAAGCTGTCTCATCACAAGAAGAACGAGCAAGAAACTTGTGTGTTGCTCTTTTAAATAATCCTTGTAAGTTTACATTTACAAGTCGAAACGTGTGAATACAAACCACCAACAAGCACTAATTTTTTGGGTCAAATATAATCATGCAATAAGATTAAATCAGTCGTAGTGATAAGAGCAGACCAGTCCCTACAAGCAGCACTCGTTCACGAGTATGACGGATGAGCCAGCCATCACTGCGCTCGACCATATTTTAGGGAGCCCATTGACCCGGCCCACCACGCCGCCACATGTCTGGACATTTTAGTGAGCATGACTACTCATTCCACACGACCACGTCACAGCTACAAAAATTACTATATGGTAGTTACAGTATTCGCACTTTACATAAGGATGCATGCGGCAATCAATACAAAAGCCGCTACGCTATCATATATCAAGAAAGCAGTATGAAAATTAAAATTATAACGTTGTCCGCAAATAAACTTATTCTTGCTATATATTGCTATCATCTATAAATTCATCTATCTTATAATAGGCTTTTTTACATAACATTTGTTTAATATAAGATTTGAATTGCCTCTCTGTAAGATTTAGCGTAGACTCTGGCAGTTTATTATAGAATCTTACGCAATTACCATAAAATGAATTACTAACTTTGTGTAGACGGCATTTCGGTAAAATTAGCTTATTTTTATTGCGTAAGTTTCTACTTGTACAGTCTTTAAGTTTCTTGAAACTATCTAAGTTTTTCCTTGTATACATAATATTTTCATAAATGTACTGTGAGGCAACGGTGAGGATATTTGATTGTTTAAAGCATTGACGTAATGACTCTCTAGAACCCATACCATAAATAGAACGTATGGCTCTCTTTTGTAAAATAAATATAGTATTTATATCGGCAGCTTTACCCCATAGCAGTATGCCATATGACATAATGCTATGGAAATAACTAAAATATACAAGTTTTGCCGTCGCCACGTCTGTTAATTGCCTTATCCTTCTAATTGCATAAGCAGCAGAACTAAGTCTACTGGCTAATTTTGAAATATGGGGCCCCCATTGTAACTTCGAGTCCACTGTTATTCCTAAAAAAACTGTATCATTAACAAAATTTACTATTTCATCATTAAGCAATAGCTGCGTATTTACTTGTTTTACATTAGGCAGCGTGAATTTAATGCACTTAGTTTTGTTGGAGTTCAGTAATAGATTATTACATGTGAACCAATTTAGTATAGCAGAGATAGCATAATTTACATCGTCTAATTGATTACATTGGCGACCAATTTTAAACACTAACGAAGTATCATCCGCAAATAACACTATGTCTGCAACTTTCTCTACCATGTAGGGAAGGTCATTTATATAAATTAAAAAGAGAAATGGGCCTAATATTGAACCTTGAGGAACGCCCATTTTTATATTAGTTCCCTTAGACTTTACACCATCAATATCTACAGTTTGCACTCTATCCTCTAGATAAGTTTTCATTAGACTTAGGTCATTATCTCTAATACCATAGTGTTTGAGCTTGTACAAAAGTGTTTCATGATCTACGCAATCAAACGCCTTCGACAAGTCACAAAAAAGCGCCGAGAGCATCCTGTGATTTTTCCCATGATTCGAATATATGTGTAATAAGCGCCACACCTGCATCAGTAGTAGACTTGCCGGCAGTGAAACCATATTGCTGACTGTGAAGCAGTCCGTTATCCCTGAAGTATTTTAACATTTGGTTAAACATAATCTTTTCAAATACTTTACTTAGAACTGGCAAAATAGAAATTGGTCTATAGTTGCCTAGCTCAAATCTATCTCCAGATTTAAAGAGTGGAATTAATTTGCTAAATTTCATTAATTGAGGAAACACGCCATTATCAACACATTTATTGAAAATAGTAGCTAGATAAGGAGCAACAATATCTATGAATGAACTAACTACTTTAACTGACATGTCCCAGAGATCTTCCGTATTTTTTAAATTTAACTGTTTGAATATTTTTATGACATGAAAAGGGCTGACATGTGAAAATTTAAATGTTAAAGAGCAAGGGCTGACATTAGCCTCCAGTAATGTTTTTGCCCGAATTGGAGATGAGTCTAGAGAAGATGTAATATCAATTGGAATATTAGCAAAAAAATCTTGAAAAATATGAACTATATCTTTTGTTGCTGTTATTAACTTATTGTCACAATTTAATGAGAATTGATTGCAGGCTTTTTCAGACCGTCCAGTTTCTTTGTTTATAATTCCCCAGATGGTCTTAATTTTGTCAGAGGACTGATTAATTTGTTTATTTATAAAATTAGATTTAGCTGCAATACAACTTGTTTGAAAATTTTAGAGTAGTATGTATAGATGTGATCGGTGTGGTGAAAAAGGACACTTGAAGTCAGTGTGTAAGCATTCGCAAAGAGATAAAAGTCAGTTTTTTTTAAATGAATCTAATTCAGACTCTGAGATTGATTTGGATTTTTTTAATTTATCTTGTAGTGGCAAAGATGCACCTTATTATGTCAGCGTTAAGGTTGAAAATTGTAAAATTAAGTTCGAGATTGACACAGGTAGTAAAATATCGGCGATTTCGAAGGTATGTTATGATAAGTTGTTTTCACATCTTACATTAATAAATCAATCTCTTAGATTAAAATCGTACACAGGTAATATAATCAAACCCTTAGGCTATATTTTAGTGAATGTTATCCATGATAAATTTTCAGATAAGTTGCAACTATTTGTATTCGAAAATGGCGGTCCCCCGTTGCTTGGTCGAACATGGATAAGACGCTTACAGCTAAATACATTAGAATGTCATAATAATATAGCTGAAGTCAATCATAATAGTATTGTTAAAATGCTACGTGTTGAATTTCCCGAAGTATTTGCTGATGGGTTGGGAACCTATAATAAATCTTGCATACAATTACATTTAACTGATAAGACGCCCGTGTTTGTTAAGGCGCGTCCCCTGCCGCTTGCTTTACGCGAGCCAGTGGAACGAGAACTAGAACGATTACAGCGGGATGACGTTATTTATAAAGTAGAACGTTCGGATTACGGGACACCTATTGTCCCCATTGTAAAAAAAAATGGTAGTATCCGTATATGTGGTGATTACAAAATCACTCTAAATCCACTGTTAAAAGATTTTCACTACCCGCTTCCGCGCATTGAAGATATATTTGCTAACCTAGCGTGTGGTGAGCAGTATTCAAAATTAGATTTATCTCATGCCTATCAGCAGGCACTTTTGTCTGAGGAGTCACAGCCCATGACAGCAATCACAACACATATAGGGACTTTCGTTTACAAAAGAGTACCCTTTGGTTTAAAGTGTATACCAGAAAATTTCCAAAAATTAATTGAAGAAATCTTGAGTGGATTGTCCTCAGTGGTAGCATTCCAAGACGACATTTGTGTGACAGGAGTAGATAGGGTAACGCATCTTAAAAATCTGAGAGCTGTATTGTCTAGATTAAAAGATGCCGGGTTACATGTAAATTGGTCTAAATGCGAGTTTTTTCAATCTAGTGTCACCTATCTAGGCTATCGTATCGATAAGGCAGGCCTTCATACAGATAAAAAAATAGAAGCTATATTTTCAGCGCCCACCCCTAAAAACGTTACGCAACTAAAAAGTTTTTAGGTTTAGTAAATTTTTGTGCTAAATTTTGTGCAAACATTAGTGATATATTGCATCCATTGTATACATTATTAAAAAAAATATCAAGTGGCATTGGAGCGATCAGTGTGAACAGGCATTTATGGAAATTAAAAATACATTAAGTAAAAGTCCTGTGTTGGCGCATTACAATGCTAAGTTACCACTCGTGTTGTCGGTAGACAGCAGCGCGTATGGACTGGGCGCGGTACTCCCACACAAGTATAACGATGGCTCCGAGCGGCCGATCAGCTGTGCCTCGCGTACGCTCAACGAAGCGGAACGTAACTACTCACAAATAGATAAGGAGGCGCTGGCGATTGTTTTCGGTGTTACGAAGCACCACCAGTACATTTATGGCAGACGTTTTATTATACGTAGTGACCACCGTGCTCTCAGTTACATATTCGGTAAAAATAAAGGTATACCGCAAACAGCAGCGAGTCGTTTACAAAGATATGCTGTACGGTTAGCGGCGTACAATTTTGATATTGAGTTTGTACCATCGAATAAAAACTGTGTTGCCGACGCGCTGTCTCGTTTACCTTTAGAATATACAAAACAGGTTTATGAGCAGGATTGTTATAGTTATTTGAATTTTGTAGAAGATAAATTACCAGTTACATTTAATCAGATAAAAAAAAATACGAGAACTGATACACAATTAAATAGAATTATAGGATTTGTTAAATTTGGTTGGCCAGACAGTTTACAAATTGTTAATGATAAAATATATTTTTCTAAAAAGGACAGTTTGTTTTTAGAACATGGCTGTTTGGTTTGGGGATATCGGGTGGTTATACCGAGCAGTTTACGAGCAACAGTACTGAATGAATTACATTCTGGACATATAGGTGTGGTAAAAATGAAGCAATTAGCTAGAAACTACTTATGGTGGGAGGGACTGGACGCGGACATAGAACGTGTGTGTCGTGACTGTTCAGCATGTGCTTCACAGCGAGATCAACCTCCCCCAGCGCCCTTACATTCGTGGGCCTGGCCCACAGAACCTTGGGAACGCCTTAATATTGATTTCTTGGGACCATTTCGCAATAAGTATTACTTAGTTATCATTGACGCTCATTCTAAGTGGCTTGAAGTGGACAACGTTTCAAGCACTTCAGCAGCCGCGGTTATACACAGCTTGCGTAAGATTTTTGCACGTTTCGGTCTTCCAAAGTCCATCGTGAGACCTGTGAGAATGGACCTCCATTTTCATCCGCAGAATATCTAAATTATTTAAACAGGAACGGTATTAAGCGTATATTAGTAGCTCCATATCATCCGTCTAGCAATGGAGCAGCTGAAAATGCTGTAAAATTAGTAAAACAGGTACTTAGAAAGGCGACTATGGAGCGGGAAGACTATGATACCGCGTTATGTAAATTTTTATTTACGTATCGAAACACGGAGCACTGTACGACACAAAAGGAGCCTTCGTTAGCGTTGTTGGGACATAGATTGAGAGGTAGACTGGATTTATTGAGGCCGGTTAACAAAGACTTAGTTCAGGCACGGCAAAATCGGCAGGCGACAGGTCGCGACAGAGTTTTGCGGGAAGTACTTCCTGGGGAGTCGGTGTTAGTACGGAATTATGGTAATAAAGATATTAAATGGAAGGATGCTACTGTGATAGAGAAAACAGGCCCCGTTTCTTATGTTGTTAAAACAAAAGATGATCATTTACACAAACGCCATATTGATCAAATTATAGGTAAAATTGTTAGAAAGTCTAGACATTCTCTACCTAATAGCAATAGCGACCCTGGTGTTCTAAAGGATTTGCCACGTAAGCATGATGCATCTATTATGGTATATTACAATAAAGCGGATAGTTGGTCTACACCTTTAAGTCAAACTAATAATGACAGTCCCAGTGTCTCCCCTTCTAAAGATATCGATCAGTCAGAGAGCGAGTACGATCCGCAGCAGTCCATACCGATAGCACAGCCGATAGCAAACACAGATAATGATAGAGCAATTGGTAAATATCAAATTGATGCTGTTACTCACGGTATGACCTTACGGCCAAGAAAAAAATGATGTTGTTTTAGCGTTAAAATGTTATATTATAATATACATACATGTATAATAACTACATATAGACATAAATTACTTTATAAGTTACATGTTTATATAATGTAAAAGTACACTTGTCATAATTAGCATGTTATTACTCCTTAAGATGTCTGTTTATTATAGAAATAAGTTAGTATATAATTTAAAGATTTAAGGCGAGAAAAATGTAGTATTTGATGCGGGTATTTGGGTTATTTCTTATGTCGCGGGTACATAATAAATACACTTGTACTTTTATCTTAATAAACCAGTTAGCGATAGACCGTCTTTCATTCAATACACTAAAGACTCATTAGATTGGTCTCGATGAATAGAGTTTAAAAAACTTAAAATAAATGGTAAATTAGAAATAACGTATAAAAACACTCTACGCAAAATTCAACCACTTTAAAACTTAATAATAATAATTAGGAAAAGATCAAAGCTATAAGTGCACTGAAAGTAATTGATGGCTTCCACACAATATTTTCAGTACTAAACAACTCTGTTTGTTCAGTAAAAGTGTAAATACACTGGTAACCTTTAATCATATTTTATATGCAAACATTACATATGCAAACCCTAAAGTTTTATTTCAGAATGGCCAGTAGTTTTAAAGAAATAAGCCTTTGAAATTGTACGTGTAACTTATATATATGTATACTAGTTTTTTCACAAGAATGAACAAAAGCAGAATGGCCTAGTTGGTAGTTTGCCTATGTACCAACTTACACACCCCGGGTTCGATTCCCACCGTTGACTATTGTTATTCATTTCTTTTTGATTTTTTTTAATTTAATATTTTAATAATTAAATTAATTTATACGAGAAAAACGTAGTTAAGTATTAAATTAATTTTACTAGTTAGGAGTGTACCTGTGTACCAACTTACCACACAGACACCCCGGGTTCGATTCCCACCATTGACTATTGTTATTTACTTCTTTTTGTTATTTTTAAATTTAATATTTTAATAATTAAATTAATTTATACGAGAAAAACGTAGTTAAGTATTAAATTAATTTTACTAGTTAGGAGTGTACCTGTGTACCAACTTACCACACAGACACCCCGGGTTCGATTCCCACCATTGACTATTGTTATTTACTTCCTTTTGTTTTTTTTTTAATTTAATATTTTAATAATTTAATCAATTTATACGAGAAAAACGTAGTTAAGTATTTAATTAATTTTACTAGTTAGGAGTGTACCTGTGTACCAACTTACCACACAGACACCCCGGGTTCGATTCCCACCATTGACTTTTTTTTTATTTTTTTTTTAAAGTAATATTTAAAATTAACTATTTTAATAATTAAATGAGTTTAATCGATAAAAACGTTGTTAAATATTAAATAAATTTTAAGTGACATTAACTATTATAGCATGCACAAAAAATATTTTGTAATAATAAAGAAAATACATTTGAAATGTTGTTGTGTTAATTATTTATAAGATCTTACTATAATTGTTAGCTGCTTTACAATTTAGAAAGTATAATAGTTAATGTAAATTAAAATTAATTTAATACTTGACAACTTTTTGTTCGATTAAATTCATTTAATTATTAAAATAGTTAATTTAAAATATAAAATAAAGTCAAAACAAAAAAAAAATAATAAAAAAAATTCTATGGCGGGAATCGAATCTTGAGCGTCCGTTTGGTAAGTTGATTTGAAATTCAAAGGCTTATTTCTTCGAAATTACTGGTCATTTTGAAATAATACTTAGGGTTCGCATACCCTTATCGGATACTACTACTACACGGAGTTTCGTCAAAATAAAATATCTAGGTTAGGTATAATAAATTCATAATTAATAGACCGTTACGGTATCTGTATATATTCGGATCAAAACAAGTACTATGAAATAAGAACGAGTATATAAATTGATTAACACAAGTAATTGATTTTTGAAATATATTCAGAGCCAAAAAGTCTTCTTTCTTTATTTATGTACTTGTTAGATGCGACAGCGACTTTGTTTTATACTATACTATACTATACTACCTAAAATAAATAAAATATCTGAGGTTTGGACAAAAACTCAAAGGGTAATTTATTTTGATAAAGTATTTTGAAAATACCTATTTTGCTTTTAGTGTTATAGTACTTTAACTGTTATATTTTAAGTAACAATGTTTAATTATAATTAATACTACTGCACCAACACTCCGATCGTGCAAAAAATTTGCTGTTTCATTATTTTTTAGTTCAATTAGTGGTCTACCTAAGTCCTGGGCTAAGGGGGGAGAGTCATGACGCCCCCATGACTCCCATTACCTCCATGACGCTCCCCCCTGGATCCGCCGTTGCGTCTTCTCTTTATTCGCTCAGTAACGTTGTTACAAAAGAAAAGATTCCCGTCCAAAAAATAACAAGTATTGAGGTTTGATCTGGAGTCACGTTACTCCAGACAGATTTCTATAAATATTTAGATTAGATAGACTATTATTCTTGAAATACTAGCTAGACATTATTAAGTTACTGTAGCCATAATGTAGTAGCCCAAACGTGCCAATGAGGAAGCCCTTGGCAAATGCTGCACCCTGATTGGCCCGTTTGAATTGGATCAAGAACTGCTCGTATGCCAAAAAAGGTGGATTTGTATAAAATCGTGTATAAATCGCGTAATTATTATTATTACTCGTCGTGACAGTTGTGGCTCAAAACGGATCAACATTTATATATGGTCAGCTGGCATTAGATCAACAAAAGGCCTCCGGATCAACAAGTGAAAATGGATCAACAAAAAACTACCTATACGGCACGTCTGAGCCACAAAGTGCCCAAGGGGATATTTATATATATATATATATATATATATATAACAAAGCGGAATTTTAGACTCTACTAGGTCCTGTCACGACGAGTAATAATAATAATTAAGCGATTTATACACGATTTTATACAAATCCACCTTTTTGGCATACGAGCAGTTCTTGATCCAATTCAAACGGGCCAATCAGGGTGCAGCATTTGCCAAGGGCTTCCTCATTGGCACGTTTGGGCTACTACATTATGGCTACAGTAACTTAATAATGTCTAGCTAGTATTTCAAGAATAATAGTCTATCTAATCTAAATATTTATAGAAATCTGTCTGGAGTAACGTGACTCCGATCAAACCTCAATACTTATTATTTTTTGGACGCGAATCTTTTCTTTTGTAACAACGTTACTGAGCGAATAAAGAGAAGACGCAACGGCGGATCCAGGGGGGAGCGTCATGGAGGTCATGGGAGTCATGGGGGCGTCATGGCTCTCCCCCCTTAGCCCAGGACTTAGGTAGACCACTAATTGAACTAAAAATAATGAAACAGCAAATTTTTTGCACGATCGGAGTGTTGGTGCAGTAGTATTAATTATAATTAAACATTGTTACTTAAAACATAACAGTTAAAGTACTATAACACTAAAAGCAAAATAGGTATTTTCAAAATACTTTTTCAAAATAAATTACCTTTTGAGTTTTTGTCCAAACCTCAGATATTTTATTTATTTTAGGTATATAAATCATTACATAGTAATATAAAAACAAAGTCGCTGTCGCATCTAACAAGTACATAAATAAAGAAAGAAGAATTTTTGGCTCTGAATATATTTCAAAATCAATTACTTGTGTTAATCAATTTATATACTCGTTCTTATTTCATAGTACTTGTTTTGATCCGAATATATACAGATACCGTAACGGTCTATTAATTATGAATTTATTATACCTAACCTAGATATTTTATTTTGACGAAACTCCGTGTAGTAGTAGTATCCGATAAGGGTATGCGAACCCTAAGTATTATTACAAAATGACCAGTAATTTCGAAGAAATAAGCCTTTGAATTTCAAATCAACTTACCAAACGGACGCTCAAGGTTCGATTCCCGCCATAGAATTTTTTTTGTTTTGACTTTATGTTATATTTTAAATTAACTATTTTAATAATTAAATGAATTTAATCGAACAAAAAGTTGTCGTATTAAATTAATTTTAATTTACATTAACTATTATACTTTCTAAATTGTAAAGCAGCTAACAATTATAGTAAGATCTTATAAATAATTAACACAACAACATTTCAAATGTATTTTCTTTTTTGTGCATGCTATAATAGTTAATGTTACTTAAAATTTATTTAATATTAAACAACGTTTTTTTCGATTAAATTCATTTAATTATTA